CTCTATTGAGTAGCATCCTCCCCCTATCCCCCCCTCTTCTAGGGTTAGGGATGTGGTCAATGGCCACAAATTTCAATGTAGCCAATGGGTGCTTCAATTCAAGGAAGTGTTTTGCAACCGGTTTATCTGTAGAACCGTCACGATATGCCAGTCTTATAGAAGATCTGTGTCCCCTAATTCGTTCGCAGATGGCCGTCTCTGTTTTCCCAATGTAATATAAGCCACACGGACAAGACAATTTGTATATTACATGTGTCGTCTTGCAAGTGATGGTATATCGAATAGTGTATTTTCTATTATTGTGTGGATGAAAAAAAGTTCTTGCAGGCATCATGTGGCTACAGGTCACACAGCCAAGACAGCGAACCGATCCTCTTATTTGTTCCTTCGCTATATTTGAATAGCTTTGAAAGGGATCCGTGCATACTAGCATGTCCTTTAGGTTTCTGTTTCTCTTGTAACAGATTAACGGTTTCTCTTTAAACACTTTCGGGAGCGTGTCATCACTCGACACTATCCTCCAATTCTTATTAATGACCGATGCCACTTGGGGGGTAGACTGATTGTATACCATAGGGAAGACAAAATTAAGAGGTTTCTTCTTTGTTTCGATAGCGCGTGCATTCAATGCTTCTTGTAGCGCTGTTTCCAACATACATTCATCATAACCTCTTTGAAGAAATTTATTTTTCATTTCAGAAATCTGAACATCCCTAATTGCTACTTCCGAATTGTTTCTGATGACTCTTAGGAATTGTGCCTTTGGTAGTGAGTTCTTCAAAGCCCTGGGATGTGCACTCTGAAAATGGAGGAGTGTATTCCTATCTGTGGGTTTTGTATAAAGGGAATATTGAAAATGTGTTGCTCCCAATGAAATTTCCAAATCCAAATAATGCACCTTCTCTGTGCTAATATCCGCTGTGAATCTTACTGGTGTTGGTAAAAGATTGAGGTCATGAACCATTTCATGGGCTGATTCACAAGTTCCACTCCATATGATGAACAGGTCGTCGATAAATCTATAGTACGCTATTATATTGCTTTGATATTTCTCCAATATGTGTTCCTTCTCATACACATACATGTATGCATTAGCGTACATCGGCGCCATAGATGCGCCCATTGATGTGCCAGCCACTTGTAGATACCAACTGTTTTCAAAACGAAAATAATTGTTCTGTAAAGTTAGAGAAAGTAGTTCCAAAACATACTCTATAGGAGGGCCATGATACACAGGAGATTGAATCAAAACTTGCCGCATAGCTTCTACCCCAGCATCATGTGGTATCACTGTATATAGACTATGTACGTCCATTGTTATTAAAACTGGTTTATAATTACCATAAGATAATTCATTGATTTTAGTGATAAGAGTCTGAGAGTCTTTAATGCAGGTAGATAGTTCTCCAACTGGACCTTGGAACAAATAATCAAGCCATTTTGCAATAGGCTCTAAAACGCCATCAATGGCTGACACTATAGGGCGTCCTGGCGGTGATTTTGGATTTTTATGAATTTTTGGAATTGAATATATGATAGGTGTGCGAGGGCATATCTTAATGAGATATTGATATAGTTTGGAATCAATAAAGCCCGATCTCAGGCCCATTGATAGAACATCTTCAATTTTACTTTGAATGTTACTAGTAGGATCCCTATCCAACAATGTATAAGTGGTCCTATCAGATAACTGCACATTCAGATCTTTGGCGTAGTTTACGTAGTCCATGATGACAATTCCACCTCCCTTGTCAGCCGAGCGGATGACTATTGATGGATCTGTTGCTAGTCCCTTTATAATCTTCCTTTGTTGTTTCGTAATATTATGTTTTATTTTATGTTCGCGTTGCATAAGGGTTTGAACTTCTTTATTGGTCATAGTGAGGAATGTCTTAATGGACGCCTTATTGGATATAGGATCAAATGTGGACTTGGCCCGAAAAACATCTGGAACTACTGTACTACGTTCCACTGTGTTGGAAAAAAATTCTTTCAACCTCATAGTTCGCCCAAACTTATGTAATTCTATCTTCCATTTGAAAACATCAGCCTTAGATGTAGGCACAAATGAAAGGCCTTTACTAAGGAGTTCTATCTCGGTTGTATCAAGGGGCCTTTGAGAGAGATTAAATATAGGGATTACTTCCTGCGTGGGGGTTTCCCCTGTACAGGTGTTCTTTCCTTTGCGGCCTCGCCTCGTTCTTGGTCTACGTCGCCCCTGAACCGGCTCCTGGTTGTTGTACCCGCTTCGTCTGTGGCTAAAAAAAGTGCTTTTGAAGCTTCCGTGATATTTCTAGTGTCTGAATCAGAGGCTGACTCTCCTGAGGTTACATCCACTGTTGGGACCCTAGGTCGCTGTATTCTTCTACGTTGTGTCCTAGGTCTATTGGCTCTAATGTTACCAGTGAGCCAACCATAGACTCTGTGTTCCAAATAGTCTTGTGTGACTTTTTCAAACTTCTGTTTTTTAAATCTCACTAATTCCATTTTATATTTCAAAACTTCCTCTTTAAGTTTTTGTATGGTCTTTAATCCTTCAGGTGTAGCCAATAGTGTTGCATATTCAGTTTCTAATTCAGTAATTTTTAGATTAGTGTCAATCAGATCTGCCTTCACATCTCTAATAATGATGAGCATTAGATCAAGTGATGCTCTATTCAACACTTGCGTCCATTCTCTGCAAATAGTGGCTTTAGACCTTCCTATAGTGGGAACATTTAATATTCTGAATCCCCTAGGGATACGTTTAACTCTGTAATAATCCGAAAGGAAAAGACCGTGCAGATCCAGGTCAATTTGTTTCCTACGTAAGCGTAATAGTTTAAAATATATGTCTTTAGTGGTAAGCTGATATGGAAGTTCTGAGCTAGACTGATGCCACAATATGTCATCCGCTTCTTCTTTGGAAAAATATAATGTCTCTGCCTGTTCTGAATATGCCCCCGCCTGTACTAAAAACTCATCCATAATGAAAAAAGTTTGCAGAATAAATTGTATGAAATTGGCTACTATGGCTTTAAATTGCTGGAATACTCAGTACAGCAATATTTAAATACAAAAAATTTTTTCTATATGTGGTTCTATATACTAATTATTGTTTTATTTATAGTATGTCTCAGGAAGGGGTAGAGGATTTCTCCCTGCCTAGCACCCCGGCTAGAGCTGTCACTCCCACACAAGGAGGAGAGCTAGCTAGTCCAGCATCAATCAGATCCTGGACAATCCCGCGCATAACCACGGAATTAAGGAGACGACAAATCCCCTACCCCGCTAAAGCAAGGAAGGCAGAACTTTTCAAACTGCTAAGCACATCAACTAATAACATGGAAGCCGGGGAAGGATCTAGCCAGTCCAACCCAGGGGACATACATGCCATGTTATCCTCACTCATGGCATCCATGGGCAAGGTCAACTCCAGGCTGGAGAAACTTGAGTCGTCACTTGAGTCGGTACACGATCCAACTGGGGAAGGATTGATACCGTCTTATTTTGCAGACACTTTGCAGGTCTAAGAACACCAGCTTGTGCATACTGCTCCTCCACAGCCCATACTACTAATTTTTGTCCCAACACGGCAGACGGACATGCCTCCACACAAGGAACTAGTTCCTCTGGGGATCTAGGGAAACTATCCAAAGACAAACTGGGACGCCCAATCAAGTTTCTGGGCAAGTCCCAGATATGTAATAATTTCAATGTTGGGTCTTGTAATTACAGTGGATGTAGACTATTGCATGTCTGTTCAAAATGTTTTAGGGCACATGCAAAGACCATGTGTCCAAATAAAATGTATTCCAAGCCTTACCTTACGTCCATTAATATGCCAGTATTCACAGCATTGATGTCTCAGCACCCATCCAGACACCTGATAGATTTTCTTATTTCTGGTTTAACAGAAGGCTTCCACACAGGTATCCTTCACATACCAGCTGAAACTCTGGAATGCCCTAACCTACAATCCGCCCAACACAACCCCACAGTGGTTGACACCCTCATAGCCCAAGAAGTGGATGAGGGCTTTGTATTGGGGCCTTTTAGAACCCCTCCATTCACAGAATGGCGCACCAACCCTATTGGTATTGTCACAGGGAAATCTTCCCAAAAACAGAGACTCATCATTGACTTATCGGCTCCCCACTCATCGCCCAACCCCAGTCTTAATTCCCTCATACCCTCTGAGG